ATCAGATTGCCAGAGCTGCAGAGAGAGCTCTCTCTTATTTCTGCTAACCAAGACCTCTTGTTTCCAGTGTTCTGGACCAAATAAAGAGCATGAACTTTACAAGTGAACTATATTCCCTTCCTGAAAAATGAGTATGCAGAATGTTCTTCAAGCTATAGGTAATCCTTTCTGTCTGTGGAAAAAACCTGCTCATTCAGGCACCTTCATTCCTGACTGACCTTATCTCTAAAATATAAAAGTCATAGTCATAAGAGACAATCTAAAAGTAACCTGAATAATTCATTCCTAAAAGTTTTGTCAACTCCATTCTGATCACTATGGAAAAGAGTTTAAGCCACAGTGTGTGTAATTCAACTGACTTTCTCAGCTTTTTCTATATGCAGCTCTAGTTTTTAGCTTTCAGATCCCTTTGTACTCAATCTATCATTTTTTCTTAGTATTTGCATGTATGGTATAAGTCCCATTTGAAGCCATTTATTGTACTTTGTATCACATCTAAATGTTTTTAATGTACAAGAGAAATCAGAACAACAACAAAAAACACCTCAGACACAGCAAGTTTTACAGTCATATTGGGGATCCAATTTTAAAATAAATTGATTTAAGTCTCCATTGTGAAAACTACTTAAAGTTGTTTCATCATGGATATTAGAAATTTAACTCACCCTAAGTTTACTACCTGGGCAATAAGTAGCCAATCCATGTACATACAGTATTTAAACAAGATATCTTTTAGACACTGTGTTTTCCATTTTAAACAACAGAATCTATTTATGAAGATTCCTTTCCATTTCATTAAAAATAGAGTAGTAAATAGCTACTATTCCCACATGATCTGTTTAAACCTACCTGGTCATAATTTTAAAAAGCAAAGCTATTTTAAAAATACATGTTATTCATTGTACTTAGTTGGACAAAAACACAACCGGTTGAGCAAAACCTTACATTCATTGTACTTAGTTGGACAAAAACACATTCGGTTGAGCAAAACCTTACTTATATATTTGACAGTAGCAAAAACACAACCGGTTGAGCAAAACCTTACTTTATTTATTTATTTATTCAATTTCTACCCCGCCCCTCTAGACAACGTCTACTTACTTATATATTTGACAGCCTAAGATAACTCGTTTCACTCTTGTTATCAAAAACAAATCTTTACAGTGTTTCCATACATAAGATAATTCAGACACAAACAATGTCTTTTAAACATAGTCTTTTAAACATCATTTCTGTGGTTGGGTTGACAGATGATTCTGTGGTATTTTGTTCTGGATTTGAAGAATACCACATATCAGTGATTAGAAAAAGTAACTGCCCTGTCAAAGTCTACAGTGGTCATAAACAAATAGGATAATAACAGGGACTACATTTTCAAAATCTCTTGGCTTTTTAAAGTGGAAAGTGTGAAGAATGTTAGCATGGCTGCTGCTTTAAAATAGTCATCTTGTGAGCAGTACCAAGGTTGCATCTATAGAAGGTTGCATCTCATAGCCTTTGAGATCAAGCAGCTGAGACCACCCAGTTACTAGTCTCCAAATTCACACTTTATATTTGTTTATATAAAAAAGAATACTCACAAGCATTAACTGTTGAACTGCTGCTATTCTGATCTGACAACTTCCACCTCTCACTTTTCACACATTCAGGAGTTCCTGTCACCTTCACCACCCTATCTCTTAGGCTGCAAAAGGGTAAGCTGGTGTACAAAATGGGCCCCAGTGAACTCAGACAAACGTCTGACCAAGTATGTTTAGAATCAAACAATTAGGTTGTTTCTACTTTATCAAATGCATGACATGCACTGAGAAGGTAGCAGCTATATAGACACAGAGATTTGTGACACACTAGAGATACCTCTCAAAATGCTATAAATGTAATTAACATTAAAATTAAAAAGAAAAAAACTTTTTACATAATTTTAAGGGCAGACATGAATTGTGTGTGTGTGTGTGTATGTATATATGTAATCTCTAAACATATTTGAACCTCAAGTCATGAATATTCACAATGCAAAGGTAAGTAAAAGAGCAGGTAGTTGGTCAACATCCAAGAGAGGGCGCTTGTTTAAGATATCCTGCTCCCTGGGGTGAGAGATAAAACTGTTCCTCCTTCCATTCCACATTCAGAAGTTAACCAGGCTGGTGGTTCAATCTTACTTCAACATAGTCTCTTCTACCAGACTTGAATACAATAGGCTACATGAGAAGAGCACCAGGCAACAGGTGTGGTACATACAGCCAGGGCCTCTGATACTTTACAATGAATTCCTGCCCATCCACATCTGGAGCCTAAATGATAGCCTAATGGCATTACAACAGGCCCTCCCTTAAGTTACCTCTGCTCACTCAAGCAGAGCATCCTCTTGAAGCATCCCTGCTGAATATTTTTTTTTACAGTTCCAAATGGTAGACAAATTACTGTGAAAAGTAAATTCAAAGTAGAACAAGCTTGGAAGAAGCTTGTGCCCGAGGAATGAAAAAAAGGGATGAGAAGAAAAAAACTAAAGACTGTCCGGATAAGAAAAAGCAGCATTCCCAATCAAAGAAAATAAAAGGAAACCCTTCTTAAGATGAGAAATTCCCTTCAGCCTAATAACTAGAGCTCTTCCATTTAGGCATGAAGAGAAAAGCATTAAAGACAATGCAGGGTCTTCCAATAAAACTTGATTGGTTCACTGAACCCAGTGCTGAGTGCCTGACCTAACAGTCTCACTTTCAGCATTTATCCTCAAAATGATTCTCCTCCTTGAGGTCACACCCAGTGACAAAGCTCAATCACTTCTGGGGTCAAGCTTGTGTCACAATCATATTGGCTGATCATTCTTATGGAAGTTAATGGGTGACCTTCAAATGGCACCACTCAACTCTTCCAGTGTGCATTCACCAAGTAAAGAGACTACTATCTATCTTGGGGGGCTGTAGGTTTACTCCAAAGGCCACTGAAGAGAGTAGAAAGTCTCTTCTTCCGAATCCTTTGGGGCTTTGGATTAGCTCTTCCATGATTCTCCGGAAACAGAATTTACTTTAAAAAGTGGCTGGTACACATCCCAAGAGAAAGGGAACAACAAAGCCAGAGCATTCCACACACCAGAGCAACACAGGTTTTAACACACAGTTTGAGACAACAGAAGATAAAATTCACTCTAGGCTATTACTATTCAAGCTACTGATGGAATGGGATCAAAATAGAAAGAAGCCCCCAAGGATTCATTTGTCTCTGTAATCTGCATCATAAATGACACACAAATTATACTGGTAATCATTTATTTCCCTTTTAGATCACAGTTAAAACAAACAGCAAAGCTTAAAAGAACCTACAGGCAAGAGCAGACAACAGCTTTTATCAGATCAGGTCCACCACAACTAATTGTTCTTGAAGTCCTAATTAAACCAATAAAATAAGTCTACATTAAATATCTGTCAAAGGAAAGTAGCCAGCAGCACCTGTCTGCATCTCCACCCTTGTATTAATTAGAGTTTTATTCTATTTTGTTTTGAACACTCAAACAACACATAGTGAAATGTATGTTACCACAAGCAGTAATTTAGCAATGTTTAAAATCACTCCAGGTTTATAGTCGACAAGCAGACCAACAGACTTATCCCATCCATGTTTGCTCAGAGATAACTTCTAATGCATTCAGTAAGACTTCCTCTGAAGTAAACAAGTGTAGGACTTGGTAATAAGTTGCATGGGGATCTGTGGCACTTAAATGTGAATACAGGTAAATGCTGCATAGATCCCAAATCTAATAACCCCAAATTTTCACTCTCAAACCCCTCATCCTGGCTATCATGCATGGAGGGATACAACCTGCACACCATGCAATACTACAATTAGTGGGGAATTATTAGTTAATATTTCATTTACACCATATTGTGCTGAACCCTTTTTCTACATTGTGTCTAGGCCACTCTTCCTAATTTCATCCTCCTAACAGGTTCCTTTCCCCAGCCTAGGTTAAGAAATAATGGGTAGCCCAAGGTCTCTCCCAACAAACCTTCACAGTTGAGTAAGAATTTGAACCCAGAATAACATTTTGAAATTTATGATATTGTTTTCCATTTTCCAGAAATGTTATATTTGCACAAATGAGTCAACCAAAAAACAATGTGTGTCAGGTTTTACACTTCATGTTTTTAAAAGACTCTAATGAACAAAGAAATCACCATCCCAAGCATGTATGCAAACACAAAACCCTATCTCCTTAGTCCGCAGTGTCAACTTTTCGTAGCGCTACCTCTCCGTTGTCTATCAGTGCACCCAAGCTGGAGATGGCTAGCCTTTCAACTTTGCAAGGCACAAAAATATTGTTTTATCATTATTTGAAAGATTTATAGATTGCAGTTTAGGAAACAGGTGTTGCGATTTCATTTAAGGAAGGGGACTTTACAATAATTCTGAAGCTGATGTAAGAAGCAAAGAACCGGGGTTGGGAGGAATAAAAGGAGTAAACACAAAAATAGTGGGAAATACTGTACTGGCTTTGTCCTGAGGCTGATGGGATGAGTGGGGGTCAGTATTTAGAAGAAGGGATTAAACCCACCGGCTGGCAAAAAACCAACCAACCAACCGGCGGACAGTTCTGATGGCACCATATAAATGAAATACTCGTTTTCCATTCCAGTCTCACAACCAGCGGGGCTAGTAAAGCGGGATATAAATGTTTTAAATAAAATCAGAAGATGAAACCATCAACAACCGCACACCCTCCCCAAGACTTCTGAACTGATGACAAACGCCCCAACCCCTTAAGGCTGTGCAAGCGGGTCTCCCGCCGTTGGTTTCTAAGGGAGCGAAGGGCCGGCTTCACTGCGCGCCCAGCAAAGCGACCGGCTCTTTCAAACGAGTCCTCCTGTGGCACGCGGGGCAGTTCAACTCCCACCCATTTCGCCGCTCAGTTCCCTTTTGCCTCCCATTCTCTTCCCAAGCACGTGGGGAAAGCAGAACACCCAAGTCCTCAACAAAGAAATCACCCACCCTTGGCCGGACCTTACCGTGATATTCTTGTCCCGGCACGTAGAAGGTTGGGTTCCCAGCAATGTGGAGGGAGATGAGCACCTCTCCTTGCTCCCCATCCCCTTCCAACTCCCCGTGGTGAGTGCAGAGGAAGAAGAAGGGCGAGAACCGCGGGTAATACCCCACGGCCGCCGTGGCCACCTGGGACAGGGAGAGCGCGACCCCCAGGAGCAGCGCCAGCGAGGGGGAGCAAGTCCGGCGTCTTGGACACAAACTCCGGGATGGGGAAGGCGCGGACGGCGGGCTCCGCTTCAGCTCCATGCTCTGCTGCTGCTGCTGCTGGCTGCTCCTGTCGCCGCCAGCTCCTCACGGTCATTCAGAGGGGGACGCGGGATGGGGCAGGGAAGAAGAGGAGAGACCCGGCTGGCTAAGTTTGAGAGGAACGCCGGCGGTTCGCGAAGTTTGGCAGGTTCAACCGCCGCCGCCTCTTCTGCTGCCCGCTCTCCCCGAGTCGCGCTCCCAGCCCTGCCCGGTGAAGTGAGAGAAGCGAGCGCTCCCTCTTTCTCTCTCTCTCTCTCTCCTCAGCAGCCGCCTCCCTCCCCGCTCTCTCTCTCTCTCTCTCCACACCTTCTTAAAGCCCCGCGCCGGTAGCTTGGACTGAAAGGGAGGCAGCGGCAGCAGCAGCAGCTCTTTTCCCGCCCAACGCGCCCTCCTGAGGGCAACTTGTGCGGGGAGCCAGGCGAGGCGAGGCGAGGCAAGGCGAGGAGGGCGCGCGCCGTCCGCCCACCCGCGCGCCCCGCAGTTGCTCGGTCGTCTGCCACTCTCGGGAGGGAGTCCAACGGAGGAGCAGACACGGAGGCGTTGGGGCGGCGGGAGAAAGGGGGGGGAGATGAGGTAGAAAAACGCTATGGCTGGAAATAATTTATCCCCCTTGGTGGCTGGGTAGGACGGAATAGATGGGGGGAGGAGAGGGAGGAAAGACTCCTCTCCCTGCTTCTTTTTCTTTCTTTCTTTCTTTCCCTCTCCCTTGTTGTTGCAAATAAAGAAAAGACAGTCAGGGAAAACTGCTAAGGAGATTTAAGCGGAGCCGGTTGGCTGTTGCTTTGTCTGGATTGGTTGCGCGCTTCCTCTCCCTCTCTGCACCCCTCCTTTCATCCTCTGCCTTCTTTTTCCCCCTTCCTTTCTCTTTATTAGCTCCTCGAATAAACTATATATGTACACGATCTAAGGGCCCGAGCGGAGAAGGGCGCTCTTGTTCTGTCAGAACTCAAATGAGTCCCCATTGCACAGCACCTTCAGCTGCACCTGCTGGAAGATGAAATGGCATTTTAATTATGCCGCTATCATCATGACGATCGTTATGAGTACTATTGCCTTTATTATTAACCCAAAAGTTACGAGCAAATGCTGCAGCGCCCTTCCTGGGTTTTGTCCGTGTAACCCTGTTTGTCCACCTCAACTCTTGCCTTTTTTAAAAAAACGCCATGCTTGCCGGCCGCCCCCTATTCCTAATATTTACATCGCCTCCTCCCCATCTTCAGACTCTGGGCGACACAACCTCTTGGAGTAGATAAGGTCGTCGTTCCTGTTAAACCTTCGGAAACATCGGAGGGCAGGTTGATAGTATTGATGGAACAGGACAAGCTCAGAATAAACATTTATAACAGGCCACCTTCTTATTCTAGGGTATTTGTCTGCGTTTTCTTTTTATTTTCTTTCTTTCTTTTTTCAATCACGTCATCCCTGACCTGAGTAATTAAAAAGAAAGAGAGCCATATCCTTGGGGAAAGAAAGAAAATGCATGAGTGACCAAAGGAGAAAAGGAACAGCCAAACTCAGAACTTATTGGACTAGAAGAATAACCCACAACAAAAGCATTCATTTTGAAAATTTAGGATGCGCTGGTAGCAGGACCCCAGCATCAGGAAACAGAAGCCAGCTTCCCAGGTTTTAGTGTAGCTTTGCTGGTCCCCAACCAGCATCCTGGCGATACCAGTCTGAGCATTCAGAACATGATGTCATTGGAAAGGGGAGCATACCTGCCAGCATTTTCTGGAGTGCAAAAACGGATTAGGTTTCACTGCCAAAGAGAAAGATTCCCCTCACCACCCCTCCTTTCACACACACCCTTCCTTGTCTCAAAGAAGCAAGGACAAGGTGATCCCTTGGAATACATCTCCCAGCTGGCCTACGCCTTTTCCTGAGCTCACACACAAGCAGCCTGCCTCTCTGGCCCGTCTCCCATGCATCTGATGTGCATTCGACGCACCAGGCCCATGGGAGGTCATCGCCATCTGTCTCACCTGGATGCATTGCCAAATGGGTACAGAAACCCAAGCTCACCTGCTAACAACTTTGCTGAGAACAGTTCTCTGTTTTCCCCAGCTGTGTTGATTGAGCGGATTTTTTTTTAATAAAAGCACTATTATTTTTGACAGAACTGGATGAGAATGTGAAAATGCACTCCAACACAGGCATTTCTCACACAGTGAAGGTAAATGGGGCATCCTGCAGGGAAGTTAGAGCTCATGGGTCCATTCCAACAGGCTAATGCCTTGGAAACAGCACCTTTTGAAAGCTGCAGATGAGAAGCCGGCTGGCTGTGTTTTTACCATTATTTTTAATACCCCTCTTTATTTTCTTTACTTTTTTTTTTTTTAAATGGCCATTCCATGAATCTCAGTGCTCATAAACATGACAAGCTAATAATAGTATTCTTCACTGCCAAACACAGTGCAGGCAAATGGCCTTTTGTATAGTTTGGCCAGCGCAAGCCATTCTGCTTGAGTACATTTCCTCAGGCTCCTAACACTGCCCCCTCCACAACCCTGGGCTAATATTGCAGGAGTGGACACCGAATTAGGCAAAGTAACAAATATTCCTTCCTTTCCATGCCAATGCTGAAGCTAGTGTGCTCAGTTTGTAATATATTTTGGGAAGAATCCATGAAATAGTTAGGAAGAGGAGTCTCAGTAAACATACCTAATGCATTATACACTTAAATGAACATGACACTTAGGGAGGAGGGAATTTCTGGAACACCACCTGCTAACATAGCAGCAAAGAGAAATGGGCCCAGCTGCTTCTGTTCGGATTTGAGCAATCTAGCCAATGTTTTCTAACAAACAACTCTACAAAAAGCCAAAGGAAGGGCTACCACAACAATTCTAATTTCTACTGAAATCAACAGAACTACATCCAGTAGTTTATCTGGTCCATGGGGTCACAAAAAGTCGGACACAACTAAACAACAACAAGAAGTTCACCTTTACCTTCATTTTTCTCTTTTCTTCCATTTGATAATAGAATTTGCCCCACACCTCCGCACATTTCTACCCCACATCTTTCCCTTTTCATCTTATCTACTTTGTTTGCAAAGCAGATTCTCCCTCCAGCCACAGCTCCACAAGGGTTTGAATTTGCAAGCTCTACCAGTTTGAGCTTCCATGAAAAGGAAGCCCAATCTAATCCAAACCTGGGATGAATATTTGAGAGGTGATGCCAAACCTAACACATTCAGGAAACCCTACATAGGAACCTCGGATTTCAGCCAAATCCATCAATGTCTTCTGTTTATATTTTTACAAGGTTCACTCCCTGATTTTTCATATATGCCTAATCTCCTGTTAGATCACTAAATTGCTAAATAACATACTAAGGAAACATGTTTACTTGCTTCCTTTCTACTTCTACGACACATTGGTTTTAACTACATGTAGACTAAAAGTATACAGGGTTTTTTTTTCATTTTCATTTGTTATTTTACTTTGCACTGATGTCAAAAGAAGATTTTTTTTTAAAAAATCAAAAGAATAAAAAGGGTCCACTTGACCATATTTAGTCAATAAAATTTAGGAGTTAACCCTGGAAACATTAAGTATTTCATGCATATTATTTAAAGAGACTTGCTTTGTCATTTAGTACAGTCACTAATTACCAAGTTAACCATCCCTGTTCTGTTTATTTTATCTGAAATAGCTGAAAATGGTATTTTATATATGTTATCTTGTTGTGTTTTAATCTATGTAAGCCGCCCCAAGTAGACGTTGTCTAGAGGGGCGGGGTAAAAATTGAATAAATAAATAAATAGAAAAGATATATATGAATATTCTGGATAGGTAGACATGTAAATAGGTAGATAGACACACAGACCTGCAAAGAATCTAGATGCAGGCAACATTTATTTAAAATAGTTTTAGACTCATTTTAAAATAATATTTACAGTCAATTTTATGGTACTTTGTTTCTGAGGCGTCATGGACAGAAAAACAACAGATAATTTTAATTAATAAATAAATGCCTAAACATAATATTTTTGAAGGTTTTTCCCCTCAAATGTACTACATCCTCACACAATTTGCTGCCTGTCATCAACTGATTACACACTGCTACATCTCACTCAATAATAATGTCAGCACGTTTCCTTTTACTAAGTCTCTATTTTCTAAAATGGCAAAAAGGACAAATTATCTGTTAATCAACTATATTATACTTCATGAAAAGCTGACAAAATCAAGACCTTTGAAAACTTTTTTTTAAAAGTTTGGAAATGATAATTAACACTATATGGGCAGAGGTTGTAAGGTAATGTTGGCTTTCTCAACAGCTTAGATGTGATTTATACGAACAACCTGCTCACTCATGAGACTATTGATAACAGACAAGAGCATGATACCAGGTATATGCCTGATAATTAACTCAAGAAATAAACTTTGATTTTGTGTAAGAGCAAATGTACAGAATTTTTATGGTCACTAGCTTATCCTTTAAGTTTAGAAGTGTGCACCACAATCCAATATGGAATTAGACATGTTAAGTCTTTCTTAGTTCACTGGTAAGTTAAATATAGCTAACTGAAATAGACTGTAGCAAAGGATAAAAAAGCCCTCCAGATGTTTTGACCTACTTTGTCATCCCCCCTGGCACTGACCATTGGACCTTGCTGGCTCAGACTGATGGGATTTGGAGTCTAAAACATCTGGAGAACACCAGATTGAGGAAGAATGACTTAGATTATATGATAATGCACAAGGAACAGCTGCCGTTAAGTGGATGCAACCTAGAATTGCCTTATCTGGCAGGTGGTTTTATATGGTAACATTTTACAAAACATAATTATAATAGTCACAATTGTTCAATTGTTATTGAACAATACAAGTAGCGGAAAGAGACCTGACAGTGTCCCAAAGGAACCTTTTGTTAAGATATGCCTTCTGTACCTTTAAAAGCTGCATGACAGACACAGGATGATAAATATAGATTCCCCATCATCATTGCTTTGCCCATTTTGATAAAGTTACACTAGTTGTGGTTCTGAAAGCCAAGTAGCATTCAAAAGCAAGCAAACTGCTTTTAAGGGGAATGGATGCAAAATTCATTCATCTGTGTGAGGATGCTGCACTAGATCCCAGAGCATAATTCTGCCACTCATCAATTAGGAATGGGCTCATCATATCATTATATCAAACCTTTACAAAAGTAGCCTTTCAAGTTCTGAGATGGTGGCAATCTTATGAAGCAACAGGCCTACTGCTATTGTAGTCCTTGCCTTTTGGTCTGCATGCATTAATAGTGGTATATAGTTCCTTCTGTGAGGGTCAATAGTTGCCTGACTGCATTTGGCCTTCCAGCTACTCTGTATACACATGTAATTTTTTGAGGAAGCTTGTAGGAATAAAAGAGGAGAACACCAGTGCCAGAGGACTACGGGGGGTGGGTGACGGTTTCAGCCCCGCTGGGCCCCCGCAGGGGTGCAGGAGGGCTGGGAAGGATCCGGGAGGGCAAGAGGGGGTGGCTGTTTTGGCCCCGGT